GTCTTCCATCACTCTGCTTGGTGAAGTCATTGCTGGCAGTACAAACCACTGAATGCTTATTTTCATCGTCCGCTTAGCAATCTTGTCTCAAGAAAACTTAGGAGCAGCTCAATAACATGTTACCAGTAGCAATTTTTAAAGTAAAATTGAGTGTTTTGGCAAGTGCTTTTCTGGCACCTGATATCTACGTGCTAGGAGAAGCCCAGTACTGCAGATGGCACTGTGCTAAGCTGGAAGCATGTGACAAGCATCCAGTGAGGGCACACAGACCCCACAATGAGCTTTTGCACTTGAACGCCAGGTACCAACTCTCCAAGGAAATGTTAAGTCTGATTTGACTCGCTAGTCTGTGGCATTAGCACAGAACTGGTCTCACATTTGGTGTTACTGAATTTGCCAGCTTTTGCTCATCAGCTGGGATTGGGGCACGTGTGTCTCACACAAGGCAGTCTGAAAGCAGGGAAAGTCAAGCAGGAAGCTCATTAAGTTCACGCTTCACTAAGAAGGCTGAATGTACTGATTCATCCCTCCTTCCTTCCCCTCAATCCTGCAACTGCCAGCTTGTGCTGAAGTTCTCTAATTATGTTTATCAAGCTAATTCTTCTCCCTCTTAACTTCCAAGGAGCCAAGCATCTGGCCTGACAAACAAATGGAGTTGTACCTTTCGTAGCTTCCCGTAGTCGATGAGCTCTGGACGGTGTCTGTGAATTAAAGCGCAGAAACCAAGGCCATCCTTCCAACTACGAGAGACAGGAGAGAGCACAATGAGCAGTGCTCAGCCAGAGAGAGACACAGTGACGGGCATGAGCATGAGGGAAGACACCAAGACAGCAAGATGACTAATTCTGGTTTAGGTTCTAGCTAACAGTGCTTCTCTAAGTGCTGGAGAGGAGTTATGACTTGTACCTGCACAAGACTGCAACGAAGATTCCTTTCAAACCCTACAGAAATTCACTGCTACCAGGGCTTGTCACGTCCTTTTGTCAGTTCTCTGTGCATGCCATGAGGAGCATGCAAGAGCTCAGAGCTGAAGAAAGGCGTAGGTACAAGCCCTAAAGAAGGAATGAGTGCATTCCTTTGGGAAAAGGCAGATGCCCATAGCTAGCTCCATATAGTACTGGCTAGCGTGGATGGCACTTAGGCTCTCAAAAAAAGTACTTGGCATTTATATGGTTCATACAGCTCACCAAGATGTGCTGGAAAAAGCAATATTATGCAGAATCTTCACTGGAACATCTGCCGATTTGGAAATATTAAGAACAGAGCAAGAAAACCTCTCATCACTTCCCAACTCTGCCATGCTACAAGCTTTCTTATTTCATGACTCCTAAAGTGTTCTGAGTTTTCAGAGTGCAAAAGCTAGCCCCTGACACATATGCTGCTCTCAAAGGACCTAATGCTCTGAAGAACTTTATGAAAGCAGCAACTGTAACCAGAATGAGGAATTGGGATGTAGGTACTTAGACCTTCTTGCAACCTCTGCCTTTAATTCCCTAGGTGTCTCTCTGGACTACACTGTTACTGTGTAATGTCCATCTGCATTGCCCTGGGAGGTCTGTCAGGAATACTGTCGAGTATACCAAGAGACATATGAAAATAACACAGATTGTAAAACTAAACACTCTCCTGTAACTCACCTGATATGGAAGTTCTGGATGTTTACATTTTTGTAGGGGGCTGTCTTCCTCTGACACCATAACAAAAGTCCTTCTTTAGCAGATGTCTCTGGAGAAAGAAAGCAAGGAAGCACACCAATTAACCCATTTTCTTAGAAAGCAGGAGTGTCTGGAGCATAGGCTAGAAAAATATGACCAACTCCTCTTTGGTAGAGACTGCGCTGAATTGTGCTTTGTTTAATTTCACTTCTCAGAAAATTCCTTATTTAGAAGAGTATACTGGGATAGTTTTGTTACTATTATTTTCTTAATAAGGAGATACCTTTTTGGGATTTGAGAGGAGAGTTTTGTAGGACCTGCAAGAGATAGACCCATTTTCAGTGCTACTCCCAGAATCAGCCTGCAAGAAATGCAATACACTCCAACTTCAAAGTTGCCTTTCAGGCTTAGCCATCCTTTTCAGCTGCTCTTAAAGTCTCTTAGAAGAGGAGGATGTTAAAAACCCTTTTTGGTATACCTGAACCTGGCCAGAAATGTCAGTGAGAAAACAGGGCAGCTTGGGAAGGGTACCTCCCTAGGATCTTCCAGCGACTCACCTAAGAGCACATTTTGGACCTTTTAAGTGGCAAAGCCATTTAGTTACCCCAGTTGTTCATTGTTGAACAGTGGCTGGAAAGAACTAAGACTTACCTTCAACTGAGATATCCTGAATGGCAAAACGGAGGATGATGGTCCAAATCATTCCAAGAGTCATTTTAACATTTCCATCCACAATTTCTATGGAAAAAAAAAAGAAAGAAAGGTAGAAAGAGAAGGAATGGAAGGCACCAAGTTGCAAGTGCAATTCCTAGTAAAATGGGAGCACTAGGGACTGCATCTCCCATTTGCAGATGGGAGAACTGGAATTCCAGCTGAAAACTGTTCCTCCCCGCCTCTCCAGACGTTCTGCTGCTACAGCAGTCTTGCTCACTAGTACTCAGTAATCAGACTGGTTCTCTTGCAATATAATACTGAGTGTAAAACAGGCACAAATGATCCAAAAGACCAGGAATAAGGACCAATTTTGATCAGTGTAATTCCCCACAGGGACCCAAAACCACCTTGGTTCAGGTTTAATTTCTATCACTTAGAGGACATATAAGCCAAACTGGGAAAAAGAAAAGCCTTCCTCTCTTACTCTGGTATGCCTCCCCCAAGTCACCTGTATAACTACCCCAGTGTAATTACACCAGAAGAACCAGTGAGACTTCCCGCTGCAGATGAGCTTTGACAGATGGCTTTGTCATGTGATCAAGGTATCACCAAGAAACATCAACATTTTAATTTCAAACAAACCTAAATACACCAGACTGTCTATAAAGGACTTCTCTCAGTCATATAATTGCCAAAAGAGACAACAGAGCATTCCCCAAAGTACGTGCATCCTGCCTGAAGAGGCCCTGAAGAGCAAAGACTCACGCTGACCAGCCTGAGCAGACCGTAACATAAACGAAGATGTTAAGCAGATTGTGCTTTTTTATTGCTCATTGGACTCTGCAATATAAATCAGCAAGGGTCAACAACTTGGAGGTTTTACAAAGCGACTGCTTGCGTGTGTGAGGTATGATCTGTTTAGGATAGGGGATCAAGGTTCTGGGGGAGGTACTGGGGGGGATGCTGGCCCAGAAAGGGGCTTCCACCAAGTATAGATCAGTGTCAAACAGCGAGCAGCTGTGTCTCAAGTGCTGATCCTCAGCATCTACAAAAATTCCACACAGACTATATATATACACATTATAAATTTACAGCCTTCACTCTTTTGGATAGCGAAACTAGCCGAGCTGCCTTCTCCTACTCGCGCTCTGGCAGGTTCCTGCACAGCAGGAGGATCTTTCACGAACAACTGACAAGTTACAAGAGTATTTTCAGTAAGAAAAGGGTTAGAATTAACCTACTGTTGGGAGGTAGAATAATTCAAGTCCTAACAAGGCTGCCAGAAACCATTTTTGTACTACTGTAGACACCTCTGTGCTGCTGCTTCCATAAAGCTGCCCAGCAGGAACACATCATGCTCTGGGGCAAGTAGAAATTTGCAGTGTAGGCAACTGCTACCTGTCTGGACCCTGTCACAAAAGTAACAGTATTTGAAATCTTCCTCTTAAGCGGTTTAAAAAAAGCTTTTCCTCTTACGAAAAGCTTTCAAAATGTGAACCTCAGCGTATTCAAAACCAACGGGCAAGTAGCACGCAACCCCAAACACACTGTTTCAGAGACAGTGTCCATCCAGACCAAATTCCTGAAAGCTTGTGATTTAGCAATACGTGTGGTGCAACTTCCAGGGTAAATTCGAAGGATAAACTCCCCTGTGCTTTGACGTACATCTGCGTTAGGGATTTAGAGATTTAAAACACAGAAAACAAGACTCGCCACCTTGTTCTACTGCAGGAAACTCCTATGTCCACTCCTTTCTGCACTTACGAGTACGCATAGGTATCTTGGCAGGGCATCAGTTTGCCCTGAATTTAATAGCCAACAACTTTTCACTGCAGCACAAAAGAACTACAGTTATTGCTGCTGGCATGAATAAAACCCCTATGTTTACCCACTGACAGTTTTCTCACAAATGAATTTTTTTTACAGATATTTTGGGGTCAGGGGGTTGATGTAAGAAAACGTCACATGACAGCAAGTACATTCAGTTCTGCACTTTTTGAGTTCTTCACCCCTCCAATAAAGCCCTGCAATCAACTTAAGGGAAAATCTATACTATTGTTACAAATACCTGAGATACTGCTCCTAAAATATGAAAGAAAGCATCCATGTTATAAGCTTGTTTGCTTTGTTCAGGTGATAAATCTGTGTGGGGATTTTCAAAAAGCAAAAAAACCCTAATGCTTGTAAAAACCACGGCAGTCGGCAGGAGGATCCTAGGGTATATTTAAGATCTGAAACTAAATTAAGCTCTTTATTTTAATGGACTAGATTAAAATCTGATGGCAATATTTCAATGTTGAAAATGCTTTATGAACATTAATAAATCAATCAGTGAGCTGAAACAGGCCATTAATATTACTGTTACAAGGATTTTAATTAGAAAGAAAGGTCAAGGTACTTACATAAACCCAGATAGCATTAAGTTGCTAATGTGGCATTAGAATCCAGCACTATCTGGTCCTGTTCTCAAATTCCAGTTTTATAAAGTTAACTGGTGGAGTTAAGGTGGAAAGCATCTCTTTCTTCTCCCTCAGCCCTCCTCATTGCATTACTCATTTAAAAAGGAAGATGTGTGTTCCCTGCTCCCATATCTAAATCTTCCTTAACAGTTCACCAAAGCAAAGCAGCTCTGGAAGAAGTACAGAATATTTCCACCACTTCGTCTCTACGTATCATTTTACTTTTTCTTGACACAGAGAAAACCCACCACCTACCAAACAGACACCGATGTCAGTGAGATGGGCGAGTGATCCATCCCGGGATACAGATTTAACCAACTACACTAACCCCATTCCTTTTCTTCTTTTTTTTTTTTTCTTCCTTCTTAACAATTGACAAAACTGTTGTTACAAGCAGGCAAGCATTTCTCATTTCTAAAGCTAGAAAACTTCTCCTGGCAACCTGGTTACAAAGTCAGCCAGCCTGATCAGAAAGGCTGTATGCTCTTTAGCCCTTGCTCAGTTTGCTCAAGGAAGCTGGGGGGGACTTTCACCCCTGCGTTCCCCAGTGCCAACCTTCTTTTCCTTCAGGATCCCCTCAGCTGCTGCCAGTCTCTTTCCAGTACCTGAAGGGGCCGACAAGGAAGCTGGGGGGGACTTTTTACAAGGGTCTGTAGTGACAGGACAAGGGGTAACGGGTTTAAATTGCAAGTGGGGAGGTTTAGATTGGCTATCAGGAAGAAGTTCTTCACGGAGAGGGTGGTGAGGCACTGGCACAGGTTGCCCAGAGAAGCTGTGGATGGCCCATCCCTGGAAGTGTTCAAGGCCAGGCTGGATGAGGCTTTGAGCAACCTGGTCTAGTAGAAGGTGTCCCTGCCCATGGCAGGAGGGTTGGAACTAGATGATCTTTAAGGTCCCTTCCAACCCAAACCATTCTGTGATTCTATGATAATATAATGGAACACGGCCAAGAAACAAAAGTGAAAAACCTGGTTGCAAAACAGGTTTGCATGAAATCTTCTGCTTCCGGTGATTAAGAAAAAGAAACTCCACAGGAATTGCTAAAAAGTTGAACGTAACACTACAAAGCTAGAACAATCTAATGCGTCATTAAAGATACTGTGTTTGCTCTCTGATGATATAAGTAAGGCTCAGTAATGTGAGAGCAGTTCACCTATTAAAAGGCTAATAATCAGACAGTGTCTTCTGCCTGACTCTGCTTTCCCAATGCTCTTCCTAAGCAGGACCTCTGCAAGTGTTGTCAGCCCTTCCTCCACCACCAGCAGCTGTTGTCTGAACAGCGGCAGCAAGTACATGTCATTAATGTGATTTACATTCAACTTGGGGGTGGATCAGTTGCTGGCTAAAGCTGATGAGGCATCTGCATCCACTGGAAAGATATTTTTTGCACCAGTGAACATGCTTCCACGCAGATCCCATTATTGTACCAAATACCAGGAACAAAATATGTAAAAACTATAGTACCCTCATCCATTTGTTTGACAGCCAATTAAGGGCCTGACAAATATTCAGTCCTTAAGAGCAAGACTGGCCAGCTACATAGAATGTGCTTTTAAAATGCCACCACCTTTTTTAAATGCATGAACTCATTTTGAAAAACGCAAAAATGATTAGGCTCACTTTTCCATCCTGGCCTGGGTAATTAGAATCAATGTTGCAGAAACTGTTAGCCCCAACCCCCCAAGCCTCTTCTCAGCTGACCATGAGCATAGAGCTTCTGGACAATCCTTGGAGAGGAGGAGTTGCAGGGGATGAACAACTGGCAGGATAGTGTTATGATCTGGGAACTGGACACATAGGTCAACAATAGTGACATAAAATAAAGGCTTCACTGCATTTTGTTTATCTTAACAAAAGCCAAATAAAGCAGTACAAGCATCTGTGCCCCTGTCTTCAGAAAGCACATTGTTAATGATGGTCCAGCCAGATTTAGGACAGATGGCTGGCATTGTTGATAGTGGTGTACATCTCAGCTCCCTAATTGTAAGTGGGCAGGAGGTAGGGACAAATATAATGCTATGTTTTACCCACTGACATGGAGAGGCCTTATTTTTCTCCTCTTTCAGAATGTCAAATGTATGCTTGCTCTGCCTGGTGCTTCAGTAGGGGTTTTACTCAGATGGGACTCCTGCAATTGTTGAAATCTCCAAGCTTTGTTTCTCCTTTCACTTGCACAGGTGAGAACTTTGGATGAACTGAGCCCTATTATCTTTATGCTGAACTGAGCCATATCTGTCTGAAAAAAACAGCACCTTTCTATGCAGATTAGAGGTGCAAATAAAAGAGTCTGAGAGTCACCTGTTGAGTCTGTTACATCCCAGGAGCATTTGACACCAGTATGGAATCTATTACAGCCAAAGAAGGCTCCTGAGGTGTCAGATGACAGTGAGATTTAAAAGCAGATGAAAAACCATTTGGAAGCTGCACCAGGCTAGAGCCTTCCTTGATAAAGCTTTACACAGATCTGCCGTATGCCACAGCTGCTTTGATCCTATGGACTCTGCCTAACAAAGATGTTTAGAATCATCTTGAATTGTTAAAACTCAAAAGATTGTTGTGAAAAGCAGCTCTTAACCCTCACTGATTATTCTGCCTGCTTAGTTCACCCTGCATTTAACATGGAATGTGTCCTGCTGCACTCATGCTGTGTGTAGGAAGTCTTCTTAACTCTGGTCCTTGTTCACTGGGACATGGCGGCAGAGCTTGGCTTGTAAACAGCAGAAAGGGATCTTTATTTGATGAAACGTGGATACACGCAACAAAAAGAGTTTTGATGGCTTTAATCTGATTAAGCACAAAGGTTTCACAAGGCTTAAGCTGACCTTAGTTGTCTCCTTGGGATTCTTTCCGGAGGTTATTTTTTAACCATAAAAAAACCCCAAAAAAATAAAGCCAGGACACTGATGGGCAATGCCATCTGTCTAACATATACAGACAACTGCAGCTGGACTGCAAACCCTTCACACAGGACCCTGCTGCCCAGCAGATACCCAGAGATGAAGCAAGCCACCGCAGGGTAAGAAGTGCTCTGCCATAACCAGTACCACCTCCGGGAGAAAAGCCACCTGGAAAATTTCCTAGATCAGTCCAACCTGACCAAGGCATTTACAGCTCATTTTCTTGGTGCAGTGTTATGACTGCCTCATTGGCTTTTATCTTCTACTTTACTGCTGCATGATGTCTTCTTGAAGTCTGAAAGTAAGCCCTTAAAATACAGGCTCCAGGAAGGTTTATAATCCCGTCCATGGACAGAGGTACTGCTGTGCTGTTCAAAGGAACAGTCCATTTTTGTAGCTGATGTGTAATTTACTGTACACCGAGCACTTGGACGGACTGGGCAGAAGTCCCTGTGCAGCGGGTTGTTTCTTGGTGACAACCAGAATGGCCTGGGCTCAGTCTGGGTGCACAGGCAGGTGCTGCGGTGGGGGAGCCCATGCTACAATCACACTTCTATGTGAGGATACAGGCACAGCTGATTCAGAAGCAGGGATCAAAAAAGAAAAATCCAGTGGAAGGAGAGGAAAGGCAAACTAGTGCCAGGGAGAGCAGAACCAGGAAGAAAAAAAGGAATAGACCAGAAAAGATGCTCTATACTCCCAGAAGTATCCAAACATCTGAGATCCAAATGCCAGCAGGAGCTATCTTAAGGCAGAAGACATCTGCCTCCAGGTCTAACTTCCAGTTTGAAGAAGGTCCCATATAGATATGGGCTACCAGATCAGACACTGGATGCATCAGTCTTCTTCGTAATGGAAGAAAATGACCTTAGATACACATTCGTGCTACATAAACAGCACTTGGGGCCAGCAACACCCTCAGGTTACTCCTGTGGGAAAAGCTGAGAAAAGCGAAGAAAACTTTTGCATGCAAAACATCAATATTATTGAGCCTCTTGTATTTTGTTCTTAAATACCAAATGCAGTAAAGTTTCTGCTACGTCCCTGAACTCTGAGTTTCAAATTGCTGCAAAGACTCCATAAAGTTAAAGCAGTATGGTGAGATAAGTCTCAGTAAGACAAACTGCACCTGCAGTGGCTGAGGTATTCTGCCTGATCTGACACAGAACAAACGTACCACAGGACAGGCACGTGTCTTGGAGACATCCTCAAAAGCATGCCTGAAAGGCCAAAACCGGGGACAGCATGCTGACACTGGTCTGACTTCCTGGGCTAAGAACAGGCAGGGCTCAGCCCTGCAGCCCCACAACTCTCCTGGAGGAAAAATGCTCATTCAGAACCGTATCAGAGGCTCATTTCCTGGTTATGTCATTAGCTTCCCTGAAGAAAGCCTGTATTTCCATCTGTACGTAGGAGATAACAAACCTCCCTCTTTTTCCATGGTCACTGTAAAGACAAACCTAGAAATACCACAGAAGCAGGGTGTCCCCACAGCAACAGTGACAACATATATCCATAGGCAGGAATCACACGGAGGTCCAGAGCAGAGGAAAACAAGTGCCATGAAAATACAATCCAGATAAGATCACAAGTCATTACAGTTTATAAAAAAGCAAATTATCTTACTAACCTGCAAGCCCTTCTGGGTCTTGGGTGACATACCCAAACACCCCCCACCTTTGCTAATAAGACAAACACCCTACACAACTCCCTGCTGTCTGCATGATCTGCAAGTTTATCTTGAGCACATCTCTGGTGCTACCCACGATGGTGTCTACACAACAATAACCAGGCTGCCAGCCAGAGCTCCCAGCTTTCTGGGGTGCACAGCAAGCCTGGAAACCCTGAAAATTGGAGCCTCTGGGGTTCTCGACCTGTGCTGGGGACTGCACTTGGCTTTGACCCAGGGGATCTCCTGGGAAAGATGCCCAGCATCCCAGCAGCTCTGCAACAAGCTAAATACAAGCAGCTGCTGTGCTTCAATTGAACCTTTTCTTCATTCGAGAAAGAAACATCTCAATTAGTTTGTTTCTGCCACTGCTCAATGTTTTCCTTAACTCATGAGAACCAGAAGAAAAGCAGGAGGACCTGACTAATAAGCCCAAGTGGGAATCAGGTTTGGCAGCTTGGTGTGAAGGTGGGATTTAAAACCAGGGTAAAGGCCTAATTATATCCCCTTTTGTCCTCCACGGCTTATTCTACGAGGACATGTTAAGGCTAGGGAGGTGCAAAGGGAAGTGACATGCAGCCACGAGAGAATGGCAACAGCTAAGCACGGCTTGGGCCCAGAGAAATCAGCTGGCTGCTTTACCTTCTGCTCCGATAGATACCAGTTTGACTCCTTTGCTGGCAATGAAATCCAAGGCCTTGTTGACGTTGGATATTTTGTGCACTCGCATTTTGCCTCTTTCAGGCTTAGCCAAACGTTCGCCTAATAAGAGGAAAAAAAAGAAGGTATTAGAAAACAAATCTGAAACTTTTTTCCCTCTGGTGGGTGTTTCCACATGCTGGTAGCTCCCATTGCTCAGTCAGGCCCAGGGCAGACCTCCCTGCACCCTCTCTCCACAGTGAGTGCAGGGCAGCCACACTCCTCCTTAAATACCCCTAGAAAGAATCAGGCAGAAAAGTATCTTTTTGTTGCATCTCAGATAATTTAGTAACAGAGGAACTGTTGGCACCCAGTCCTTTCCACAGGAGGTTGATATCAGAGGTGAAAAGGTCCTTCAAACCCACACTGAGCTAGGCAGGGGAACCAACCTCCGTACCATTAACCGCAGATAACGATGGGTGGAAACGGCACAAACTTCCCTCCCCCACGAAGACAGGTGAAGAGCTCCCCTCCAGCATCTACAACACCCAATTTACAAAACAAATCTCTCCTCCTTGGAACTCCCTGCTGTCAAATATGAGGGTGGTCTTGCCTTTTCTTTTCCCCAGCCAGGATACAGACCTCCTGCCTCTCCAGTCCCTGCACTGAATGGCCACAACCACCTGTATCGGGAAACAAAATCACTTCTTTGGCAGGTGGCTGTATATCCGTAAGAGCTGTCATCTCCCCTCCTTTCCATTACATGGGTGACGTATTTCTAACTCTGTGCAATGGTCTCTTACACAGCGGTATGCGTTTCAAATGCTTATAACGAGGCAGAGAGAAGGAAGCAGTCTAGCTCCCAGGTAAGAGCAGGTAAATATCCGATAGGAAAAAAGTCTCAGGGCAAACACCAGGTCCTCTCTGGAACAAAGCTGGAAGATTTGGAAAAGCACTTTCCTGACCTTGTTAATTAGAAAGAGTTGTATTACATGCAGTCATGCCCTTCTTGACATGCTGCCTGTAACTATGCTGTCGTGGTTTAACTCCGG